GCGTTCCCCGGGAGCGGCCCGGGAGCCGCAGGTCTGGGCTGGTTACGGACAAGCGAGGGGCAAACCACGCACCCGGACCCCCGTGCCGGGACCTTGACTGGGCTGGCGAGCCGTGTGCCGCGTGCCGGCCGGCGGGTCTCTGCGCACGGGCGGCCGCACTGGGGTGCCGGCGTTGCCTGGTGTTTGGGGTACACGCCGAGGCAGCTGTGTTTACAGTAAATCCCTCGTTGGGATCTCAACGGCTTCTTTCCATCGTAACTCAGCGTCAGGTTTCAGGCCGGGGATGCTGCTGGTGGGAAACCACCGGCTCATCCCGGCTCTTGTATCCCCACCGGTACTGGGAAGCGGGAGATGCTCCATCCCGTGCTTCCCCTGATGCTCCCGCTCCCTGCCAGGGTCCCCGGGCATGGCAACCCCACCACTGGGGCCGTGCCACGTGGGTGCCCGCGGTAGCCCCCGGTGCCCCGTTAGCCGCCTGGGCACCGTGCCGGGGAGTTAATGGGAACGACCTTGCGGGAGCTGCCGGTCCACTGGGTAACCACGCATCCGCAGGGCGGGGGAAGATGCCGTGAACTCCCCACGGCTGTCCCACAGCTCAGGGAAGGGGAAAAACCCTCTGTACCCCCAGCCGGACCCCCGCCGGGGTGGGCAGCGGGGCTGGGATGCGCGTCCCACGGGGTGAGACGGCTGCTCGGGCAGCCAGACCTCGTTAGCATCACCGCTCGCTGCGCTGACGGACGCGTCGTGCCCCGGAGAGCCGCGGCGCGTCGGCTGCCTGTCAGAGCCTCTCGCGTCTCCCCGGCTGCCCAAACCGATTGCAGCCACGTTTGACAGGCAGCGGCGGGATATTACCCCTCCCCCCTTGAGCATCACTGCGGCCCCAGCCATGGGCGCAGCGGGGGGATCCCGGGGGGCGCGTGGGTGCTGCTGGGGGGCAGCCGCCCCGTCCCCACTGCCCACGGGGTCCCCCTCTCGCCACCCCAGTCTGCGGCAGCATGGACATCCGCAACGACGTCTCCCAGCTCCAGAAGCTGGAGAACTGCTCCATCATCGAGGGCAACCTGCAGATCCTGTTGATGTTCACCACGGGCGCCGAGGACTTTCGGGGGCTCAGCTTCCCTCGCCTGCTGATGATCACCGAGTACCTGCTCCTTTTCCGTGTCTACGGGCTGGAGAGCCTGCGGGATCTCTTCCCCAACCTCTCCGTCATCCGCGGCACCAACCTCTTCTTCAGCTACGCCTTGGTCATCTTCGAGATGCCGCATCTGCGGGACGTGGGGCTGCACAGCCTGGGCCACGTCCTGCGTGGCTCCATCCGCATCGAGCGCAACCAGGAGCTTTGCCACCTCTCCACCATCGACTGGGGGCTGCTGCTGCCCGACGCCGTGGACAACACCTACATCGTCAGCAATAAATTGGCGGAAGAGTGCGCCGATGTCTGCCCGGGCATCCTGGACGTGGAGAAGCCATGCGCGCAGACCACCGTCAATGGGCAACTGGATTATCGCTGCTGGACATCCAGCTACTGCCAGAAAGGTGGGTGCCGGCGGCGTTGGGCTTGGTTGTGCCGGCTGCTTTGCCAGGATGCTGTTGGTTTGCACCACGGCGGCTGTGGGGGAAACTGGGAGGGCACTGGGGAAGGCTGGTGGAGCTGCAAGAGGACGGCAGGCCCCGGCACGTGGGCCTCCCCGGCCGCCGGGGCGTGCCGTGCCGGCAGCGTGGTGGGGGTAACCGGATCCGTGCTGTATCATCCTCCGGAGGAGAGGCCAGCGCCCGGCTGCCGTGTTTTCCCATCGGCGAGGTAAATACAGGCCCCTCCCGGGCTTGTTTGCTGTAAACAGGAGACCTGGTAATGAAATATATACTACAAACACAGATCCTTATCGGGGCTGTAACCTCGGCTGCTGCCTCGGCCCCCGCTAAGGTCAGGCTCAGCGTGGCCTCACCCCATCCACCCGTCTGTCCGTGCAGCCCTTCATCCGAGCTGGTCATGCAGCCACCCATCAGTCCGCCTGTCTGTCTGTCCACTCGCCATTTGGCCATCCCAACCATCCCTCCCGCATGCCTCCATCTGTCCCTGCATCCCACTATCCTTCCATCCCTCCTTTCACTCCTTCCTCCATCCATCCCTGCATCCCTCTATCCCCTCATCCCACCATGCATCCCTCCCTCCGTGCCTGCATCCCTCCATCCCCTTCATCCTTGCATCCCTCCCTCGATCCACACCTGCGTCCCCTCATCTCTGCATCCCTCCTTCCATCCCTCCCTCCATCCTTCCATCCCTCTCTCCATTCCTGCATCCCTCTAGCCATCCCTGCATCCCACCATCCATCCCTCCATCCCTCCTTCCCCTTTGTCCTTGCATCCTTCCCTCTATCCATTCCTACATCTCCTCATCTCTGCATCCCTCCTTCCATCCCTCCATCCCTCCTTCCCCTTTGTCCTTGCATCCTTCCCTCTATCCATTCCTACATCTCATCTCTGCATCCCTCCTTCCATCCCTCCTTCCCTCCCTCCCTCCATCCCTCTCTCCATTACTACATCCCTCTAGACATCCCTGCCTCCCACCATCCATCCCTCCATCACTCCCTCCCTCCCTCCTTCCCCTTCGTCCTTGCATCCTTCCCTCTATCCATTCCTGCATCCCCTCATCTCTGCATCCCTCCATCCATTCCTGCATCCCTCCCTCCATTCCTGCCTCCCTCCATCCCTTCCTTCATCCCTCCATTCCTGCATCCCTCTCTCCATCCCTGCATC